GATCATGGTGAGGCTCCACGGAGCAGGCCCCGCCCGCCGCGTCCCAGGGGAGAGCGCACGCCGGGCGCAACACGGACCTGCTCTCCTGAGGTGCCTTCTTATTTTGCCCTGTTTTCAGCAGGGATTTCCCGTTGCGCCTGCAGGCCGCTCACTGCCTCCACAATTCTCTAAATCCCTCAAAGTTTGTGATCTCCTCGCTACATGCAAATGGAGATTTCCACCAAACTTTACCACCAAGGATGTCGCTAACACAGGCTGTGACCGACGCGACGCTGTTTTCAGCGGGCAGCTTGCTCTGCTAGATACCACTCCTTCATCACGGGCTCAGCCGAAACCCCAGGAGCTCTCCAGGCTTCCTCACAGAACCATTACGGTTGGAAAAGACCTTCAAGATCACTGAGTCCAACCGTAATCATAGAATCATAGAATGCTTAAGGTTGGAAGGGACCTCTAGAGATCATCTAGTCCAACCCCTGCACACGCAGGGTCACCTAGAGCACGTGGCACAGGGCTGCGTCCAAGCGGGTTTGAAGATCTCCAGAGAAGGAGACTCCACAACCTCTCTGGGCAGCCCGTTTCAGCGCTCATGTTCTGCCTAAGAGCAGCATCACTTGGTGCCACAGGACCCAACACTCACTATGGGAGCAACGGTGTGTGCAGCAGAGCGGGTTTGCACCAGCAGCATCTCCAAACTCCACGGCATTGATTCACCAGCCGGAGCAACGTGGCCTCCTCGCCCCGTGCCACGTGTCCCGCTTCCCTGCGGGAAGCTGGTGCCAACAAGCGGGACGGACCTGGCTTGCTCTGGACACCCCCCTGGCCACGCAGCCTCTCTCCTCACCTGGCAATCTCGCATTTGTTCACATCCAGGCCCCTCTTTGGCATGAACCCCATCCCTCTCTGCGGCTCCTTGCTGCTGAAGGTGTTGAGGTAGTGAACGTAGGGGGACTCGTCCGTGATCTCGAAGTAGCGAATGCTGCTGTCGCCCTGCAAGGGAGAGAGAAAGGATCGTTCCGGGCGAGAAAGAGGGATCGTCTGGGGATGCTGGCGCCGGCACAGCTGCTCATGGATTGTCCCCACCAACGGGGCCGCCTGGAGAAGCCCCTGTCCCTCCTCCCAGGTAGTGCCACCTGCTCGGGGCTGCCCGGGTGCCAGGAGGACGAGAGCCCGGCCAAGACGCTGCCCCGGGGTGCCCGGAGCACGGGCAGGGCTGCAGCAGCCAACGCATAAGGAACCTCCATTTCAAGGGACGTAGCATTACCAGGACAGCAGAGTCTCCCAAAAACACCAGGTTTGGTGCTTTTATGTGGAATGCACAATGGATAGCTGTTTTTTCCCCAAGTTAAAACTTCCCTTGTTTACCAGCCTAATATGTTTCATCTCTGGCTGCTCACAAGAGTCACTATCAGGCAGTGCACTGCTCTCTTCTCAGATATCCATACGGCACTAGCAGAACGAGCATAAAGCAATTCCCTAGTGCAATCCAAGTGCATTGGATATCCAAGTTCATCAGCCTCTTGGTAAGTGCTGTTCTTCATAACACAGTGATTCAGAAAACAGGACAATGACAAGAGGGTATCTGCACAACCTGGCTAGAGCTAGAGGCTTGGGCAGAAAGACTATAAAACAGTTTCTCTTTCTGAGTGCCGATACTGCTGCCACACTGGCATCTCTGAAACAACAGAAGAGGTAGCAGAGATATAAAATAAGTTTCTCACTAGCAGCTTAGAAGACACGATTCTTGAATGCACTTGCATGGATTCTCCTTTGTAATGAATTTTTCATCTCGTCTCTCCTTGGTTTCTGTTTGTCCAAACTGTGGCATTCAGAAGAGGGTGCTTTAGATCCCTTAATGCCTACAGCAAATGACTTTAGGAAGGAGCATACACAATTCCACTTTTCTGTTATTTAACCTGTCTACGGCTCTGACCATCACTCCAGCACCAAACTTGTGGTTCTCTTTCTCAGCTGAGACACCTGAGGGCATTTCACAAGCATCGTTCATTCAAGGGCAGTCTGTCTGTGCAAGCTCAGTCATTTACCTTGCCACACAAGTAAATAATGTTGGTATCCGGATCATAGAAGGGCAGCAGGACCCCATTGCTGGTGTCCATCTCGTGAAGGGCTATTGGCTCTTCCATGTTTTTCTGAAAATAAAAACATCAGTCACGTTAAAGAAGCACTGAAAGGCTCATGTTGACAAACAATCTAAATTACTGGCAATTCTTTGTAGTTAGCGGAACATTCAGCAGCGTCTTCAACACTGAAGGTTTTGGTATTCCACCCATTACAATACCCGTCACTGTAAATGCCTACAAGCTCATTCATTCTCCAATGACACTTTAAGCACAAAATGCATTAAAACAGCACGCAGGATAATTCACAAAGTCAAGGGGAAGACTTGACAGGGCCACGTTAACAAGTGCCTCATCCCAGCGTGGCGAGATTGCTGCTGTCCTGCTCTGCACATGCAACGTTTGAATGGAAGGGACCTTCACAAGGCTGCTTGTGCCACGGCAGGGACTGACACAAATCACTTCCTCTACTGAGTGAACAAGCGTAAATAGCAATAAATGTCAAAGCGTAAATGTCGATAATTTTTGGCATGCAAAGTCTGAGCGAGATAAAGCAATAGATGGAAAAGGGAATGTGCTCAAATATGTGATCTAGGAACGTGGCAGGAGACTGCAGGTTTGGGCTAGTAAGTTGTCCTGACAGTGAAACAGCAGCAAAGAAGGAACGTGGGAGGAACGTACGGGATTCCAGAGGGCGAGCTGCCGTTCGCTCATGCGGCTGAAGCCGGTCGTGAAGATGTTCCCGTCGGCCAGGAAAATGGCCCGCATGGGCCGGGCTCCCTCGTGGGTTTTCTCTTTCTCCTGGAAGGGATTTAGAGGTTCATGTTTAGGAAGGAACTGGAAGCCCGAGCGATGATGAGCTCTGCTCCAGCCGCACGGAATCCGTGCGGGAAGCGCTGCTGCTCCGAGGAGGAGGATGCCAACAGCACAGGGCAACGTCCAGTCGCTGCCCAGTGCTCCAGGGCAGAAAGCAGCTGCTGAACACACAAGAAGTGGTCACAGGTGGCTCATTTCAGCCTTGTCTCTCAGATCCATCTGAGGTTGAAGGAAGGTTTCTCTGCAAGCTACGACACATACGTAGGCTGCTAAATCTCCCTTTTGCACAAACAACTTCGGCAAGGCTCTTGTGCAAAAGGATTAGATGAGGAATTCCACTTGTGCAGGTTTTAAAGCTGAGCCCTAAAAATCACAGTTCAAACACTAATTCCAGGAAACCTGGACAAATCCTCCACCCGGTGCAATCCTTAGGCCAGGCTGTAGTGAAACCCAATTGCATTTACAATTATCGTGCCAACTTACAGCAACGATCTCCTGTTTCCTGGGGTCAATAATTCGAACCTTCTTGTCTTTGGAAGATGTACAGATGAGGCTGCCATTGCGATTCCAGCTCACGTTGTAGATCACGTCCACGTGCATGTCGTCCAAGTTGATGAGGGCTTCACCGGTGCCCACGTTCCAGATGATGATTGCGTTATCGCAACCTGGAAGAGAAGAGCAGCTCCAAATCACGACAGCAGAGGGAAGGGAAAACACCCTGCGTGTGCCGGGACGCCGAGAGCAGCAACATGGGCAAAGGGGAGCAGCCCCAGAGCAAGGGGCAGCTGAGCACAGCGCTGGCACGGAGCAAACTGCAAATTGAGAAAGAAAATGCAAGAGAGTTACAGCAAGAGCTGAAGGAGGGCCAGAAAAGGGCCTGCCCTGGGCTCTGCTATGGCTTTTTGTGCATTCTGTGCAGGAGCTCCTGGCTCAAGGATCAGAAACACCAAGGGCAAAGAGGCAATGTTCTTACACCTCTGTAAATGAAAGCACTGGCTGGCAGGCAGCCCGCTGCCTTCTCAGGTGATAGAGGTTTGCAGCAGAGAGAGCAGGAACGGCAGGAATGAGCACGGAGGTGGGTGACAGCACGGGCAGAGCAGCAGCAGAACAAGGGCAAGGAGGGCAGTGAGCAGGAACCAGGCGGAAAGAAGACACAGAATAAAGCCCAGGATATGATGAGAGCAAGATTAAAAACAAACCAACGCAAACAAAAAACCCCATGGGACGGGAGCCATAAAACCCCCAGGTAAGGAGATGAAAGCGCAGTGGGCAACGTGGTAGCTTTTCCCAAGACTCAGGAGGGTAAAACCATGCATGGAGGCAAAAGATCACAATTGTTGTCAACTCCCAAAGGGCACAAATGACACTGAAAACCAGCTTGTGGTCACCAGCCAAACGGAGCTCAGGTGACAATGAGGACTTGATGGTCAGCACCCTTCCTCCTCCCTGTCTCTTGGGAGTAACCCTGGCCAGATCGCCTGGACACCCACCATCTGCTGCTTGCACTCGCATCCAAATCAACTTCCTAAGTTAAATATGAAAAATCACCTCTCCTTTAGCATGTTTGCACATTGAGTTTCGTTACATTAGCACCTACAAGGTCTGCAGACCACAGTGTTGCTGGGAAAAACAGATCAAAGCCCAGCAGGTCCATGAGAAGCATCCGTGGAAATGCAGAGCTCATCTGGCAGCCCAGCTGAAATGATCTGCTTCCCTTTGCCCGTGCTCAACCCTAAAGGTCATGGAATGAAAACCTCAGCCCCTGCTCATGGATAATGACTTCTCTATTTTATTTCCATAATAATGTGCCTGTTCTTCAGTGGTCAAAGGAACCTCACTGCATGGACTGCATTAGTCAAGGAGACAACATGGCAAATGCTGAAGATGGAAGTGTGTGAAAGGGACGTCCAGGCTCCGAGATGAGGAAAAGCAAAAGCAGTTGGGTCTCTTATAAACGTTGATGAAAACAGGGATGAGGGGAAGGTGTATGTAAATGGTTATCAGTTGAAATGGTTATCAGTTTCATCATCAGATGAAACCTGCAGATCGAACAAAGCCTGGAACTGTTTTAGCACTGTAAACCGTGCCCTTGGACAATTCCTTGGGTCTTGTCCCTGTAAACCGGAGACAGGGAAAGGCCAAGATAAGGAACACGCTGCGAGCCCCGTGTGCTGGTGTCACCAGGCCCTGCAATTCCGGCCCCGGAGAGGGAGAGGAGAGGAGCGAGCGGCTCGACTCCGAGTCCGGACTTCACTCCGGCTTCGCTCCGGAGCCCGGAGCTCCTACCTGCGCTGAGCAGCACGTTGCGCGCCGTCGGGTGCCAGGCCACGATGCCGACCCGTTTGGAATGGCCTTCTAGCACGACCACCGGCTCCGTCAGCGACAGCGTGAGCCCGTTCTCGGGAATCTGCCACACCTGGAGAGGGGAAGCGAGAGGCGGTGACCGAGGAGCAGCGCGTTGTTCCCCCCGCCGCGCACCCCGCGCCGCAACGTCCACGCGGACCCTTCCGGATACGGGCGGGAAGGCAGGAATAGGGAAGGAGAGGTCCCAAGTCACCATCAAGTCTCTGGCTGCTCCGTTACTAAGATCCCTCCTTGCTCGCCCTGCCAGTGCGGAACCACTGGCTGGTTTCCCTCCACATCCCCATTATCTCCGTGCCCAGAGACCCGTTTGGGTCAGATACGGCCTGAGAGAGATTCAAAATAAACTGCCTTGCAGCAAAAACTGTCTGAACAAGCCGGGGGCTTTATAGATTATGCAGGAAGCAGGACGCGGTTCTACTGGGGCTGTTTTTTCTTTATCTTTAGAAACGCTGTCAGTTTTCACGTTGCGTTTGGAATCTCCTTGCCAACGCCGATTGACTGAAGAAAACCAGTTTGGTGCTGGTAAAGGTTAAAGCAGCCCAAGTTGGCGTTGCAGAACCACCTTCCGAGGCAGCAACCGCCCGCTCGCTCCTCCTCTTACACAACCGTCGTGTCGCAAGCGTCTCCCCATGGTTAGGAAAGAACCGTCACGAGGGGGAACCGGCCCCGCGGATCCCGCCGCACGTGCCCGCGATTTCCGCGGCGCCATCGGAGCCGGTTTCGCTGTGGAAGGAGAAAGGTGGAAGAGACAAAATCCACCCGGCGGCTCTGCCAAAACCATTCCTGCCCTTTGGGGCTGGAAAAGCCTCTCTGAACGCAGCGTGACCGACGTGGAGCGTGTTAAAACGCTCGGGCCCGTCCTCGAGGCGCAGCTGTAGGTAGGTGGCAGCAGCACCGCGCGCTCGCGCGGCCTTTGTCCGCTTGAGAGAGGGATCCGCGAGCCCAAACCAAGGGACCTTCCTCCCACGGGGATGCCTGTGGATAAACCTTGGAGATGCAGAAGATTCCCAGGCATCCCAGCTCACTTCCAAACACCCCGGGCCCCATCTCGCTGCCCTGGCCATGCGCATCCACCAGCCGCAGCGGTTTAAAAGGTCTCGACTGACAGGATTGCTTTAAAGTCAGCCTGCTAAAATCAGTCCCTGCTTTTAATACAGAATCATGTGTAGGGTCTTTTAGAGGAACCATCTCAAAATTCTTTGCAATTTTAAGCACTACCGCGATGCTGCAAATCACAGATGCTACTCAAAACGATGAGAAAGTTGGGAGGAGAGAATTAAGATTCGTTTCATGGCCAAGTCTTTTGCTTGCCAGAGAACGTCAGGACCAGGTCTGAAGCGAGCTGGGGAATGCAGGCACTGGGAGAGGAAAGGGGGGTATCGCACACAAAATTCCAAGGAAAAAGGCTAAAACAAGAGGCTTCTGGTGTATCCACTGAGATATTTTTTCTTTAAGGGGAAGAGGGGAAGCACCTTCCCCTGGCAGCAGCTGCGGAGCGGCGTAATCCCCTGCAGATTACACAAACTCTTGACCTAATCGTCGCGCTCGGCATTGCAAAACGCGCGGATGCGGGAGGCCAGGCGGCCTCCCCAGCGCCCCGGCCCCCTCCTTCCTGCTCCGGGCGGGAATTCCAGCGTGGGAGGAAGCCGGATCCAAGGGGCGAGCTGAGGAGCTGGCCGGGAGGATGGAGAACGCTCCAAAAACACGAGTGCAGCGAGCCTGGGCCACCGGCAGCAGCAGCAGCAGGTCATTGCAGGGGGTTGCAGGTCATTGCAAGGGCTCTCGTTTAATTTTTGAAACAATTTGCTGAACCAAACTCACTCCGGCCACGGCGCACAAGCTCATCATCAACGGAGCGGATTTCCTACGACTGGGACAGGCCACGCGATACCATCTACAAGCCTTTATATAATCAGACACTTTCCAGCTGAATTAAAAAACCTGCAGCCCATTACAGCCATTCAGAGGAGGGTAAAGCATGAATATTTAAAAAACTCCGTATTTGCTGGCATGGGAAAATCATTCTGCCGCAGCAGCTTTCCCAGGGATTTTCCAAGGATGGGCTGCCCTAAGTCCTACCTCTTCCCATGTTTTTTTTTTCCCTCTGCCTCCAAATAACTTCTGAATTTCAGGTGCATCAAATAAATAGTGTGGACCCATCTGGTCCACACACACTGCAAATACTTAAACCTGTAGAGCCATCCAGGCTGCAAAGCCCAGCGGTGTGAGGAGAAGATCCCAGCCCCCTATTCCAACCTCTGAACTAACCATCTCAAACACCAAACCTGATCAAGGGCTCTATGGAGCTTGCGGGGTATCTCCAGCTCCTACAAATCTGGGTTTTTATTGGTATGAAATGCTTCCAAAACCTGCACTGCCAGCAATTCCCAGCCCCGGCTGCAGGGAATCAACCCTCTTCATTTGGGAGAATGATGCTCTGCAACATTTCCCGGGCATTTCCAGCATTTGTGGATGGTTTTATCCGAGGGATAATCCCACAAATGCCTGAACTGTTAGGAACCGTGGACAAGGAGAGGCAGGCAGAAAAAGAGAGGAGAGACAGGAGAAAAACAGGCAGATGGAAAAGCTGGAGCGGGCAGGAAGGGGGTTCTGCCGTTGGCTCGGGATGAGCAGGACCTTTCTCACCGCTTCCTTAGGTCCTAGGGCACATTCTCCAAGGAAGTGCTACACATCTGATGCTGATGAGACCTAACGCGGTGGAGAGCAAGGTTTTAAACCCTCGAGAGCCAAAGTACAGGGAGTCTTTTAAAACTTAAGGGTTTTTTTTTATAAGCAGCTGGCACTTTTACAAAAAGCCACCTGATTTTCCCCAATCACATCACTGTTTTTCTCCTTTCTCCTTGGTTAGTAATGCAGAGTTCAAAGCTGATGAGCAACCACATATCCTCTGGAATACGCCGAGTGCACTGACAGGCTGCTCAGGAAGCAGGACTTTGGGATCTTCATTAAAGAAAAGCAAAGCAAACAGGATGCTAAATTACCCGTGCCAGGACAGAGAGGCAATTAAAGGTGGGAAGGCTCGTTAGCCCATCCATCCCTCCCGGATAACCCAGGCCAGGCCTGTTCCACATGCTGCTTTCCCAGCTCGCTGACCAGCCCATTTTTAGGTGTCCCGAATGATTTGGGATGTATCATTTCCCACCAGAAACTGATACCTACCGCAAGGCTCAGCTTACTCCCCTACCCTTTGCTTTCTTCATCACTACTGCCTGCGTTGAACCCCCCTGCATTTCGGCTCTCCAACACAAGGCTTTGTGCATTCCAGTGGCCTTTTGGAAACCCACTGCGGAGAGGCCACTGCACGTGCTGGCTTTTGGCCTCGCAGCGACCTGTCCCATGCCAGGGTGCCACCGGGGTGCCCGCTGCGCCGTGCCAGCGCCTTGGGGACAGCAGACACCACCCGCGTGGGCCGCGTGCCCGAGCCCGGCCCGTTTTTTTGCACCATTTTTGCAGTCGCAGGCTGAGATTCTTGCAGCACAGACAGTTTCCCTCTGCATTAGCAGCGTTTGGACGATGCGTAACCGAGCGCTGCTGGTTTTGCTGCATAATTCAATCCCTCTGGAGCCTTGCAACATACTTCTCATTGCGCTCGGATTAGAGATTTATTTTGCCTCCAAGAAGGCAGTTCTGGGCCTTAGCTCCATGCGCTGCTGCTGCTGCTCATGTTTCAGGGTGCGCGCTCCCGTTCCGGGGCCTTCTGGATTGCAGCTTCTAGAGGGACATTCCAGCATCCTGACAGCTTAACTCTAGCCCAGCAGTGAGCACTACAAACACAGAAGCTTGTTGTTTCACTTAATATTAAATATAGCACATTTTGTTAACATGCTTCAGCTTCCAAGACTGGGAGATCACAGGCAAGAGCTGTCCCAGGATAAGCCTCTCGGGATGAATCCCCTCCCAAACATTTTAACGATGAACAGAAGCAAAGGAATTTATCTGACATGATCTATAATAAGATTTCAATATAACATTCAGCCTACAGCATTTCTAAATATGGCCAAAGATCACTGAAGTTATTTGGCATTATTTCATCTCACAAGGATTTTCTTTCACTTATTCTGCTGTGTTTGCATACACAGGATTCCACATCCATCACTGAGCAAGGTCATCTATTGTTCAGTGGGCTCTGGCAGAGGTGAAACAGGACTCGGGAGCAAGGTCGGCAGGTGCAAAATTTGGATTTTTTTTGAAGTTTTGACATCTATTCACACGCTGTACGTCAGGAAAAAAATAGCACTGTCCTTAAATGAAGGGCTGAAACAATTCTGGACATAGACAGACTTGTCCCCGCTGATCCCCAGCTCCTGCCGGCGCATCGGAGCTACCTCTGTCTGCTGCAAAGCTCTGCAAATAACACGTCAGCACCGAGCAGCAACTGAGCAGACAGCAGATCCCCATTGGAAGGAGAAATGGAGGAGTATTTTAAGACAAAACCAGAAAGACCAAAAGGCCAAGCTGGTTGCACAAATTTCCATCTCAGTGTCCTTAAATCCCTGCGCCTTAACACGGCGGGGTCAGCGGGAGATGCCCTTGGCCTTCCGAAACACGAGTGCCACCCACCGCCCCGCTTTTTGGGGAGCAAACGCTGCACCCCCAGACGAGCGCGTTGTCTCACCATGACGGTGCAGTCCTCCGAGCCGCTGGCGATGACCTGGTCGTTGTGGGGACACCAGTCGATGTCCAGCACCGGTCCCGTGTGGCCGCAAACTGTTGGATATGACTTGTCAATTCTGCCCGTCTGGAGGAGGAAGAAGAGAAGGACAGAGCTGTAATACATGGAAAACAGAGCGTGACGTTTCCCCGAGTTCTGCCCCTCTGCTTCCCACGCGGGTGGCTATTCCCATTCCCGGCCTCCAAAGGATCGGGATAACGTGGAGCACCAGCTTTTGAGCACCACCACCTGGAAGCCTCTGCTAGAGGAAAACAAGGTACCAAAGCACCCGGAATGAGGTTTCCCAACAAGCAGCAGCCACTTCCTAAGTGCCCAAGGGCGGGCTGCAGGGCAGCGCCGCGTTCTCCACCATCACTTAGAAGCGCCAAAGCCGCAGGGCTACAAAAACGGCCATCCAAAAAAATAGTGTCTCTCTAATCCTTCTTGGATGCCACAGCATGAAACCGGATTTATAAAGCAAATACACCCAACCAACACACATGCTGCATCCATTTCTATTAATCTAATTAAAAAGAGCTGCCCAGAGCACAGGAGTCACCACCGTGCAGAGGGGACAGCAGGAGGGTGACGCTGCCCTCGCACCAGCTGCTGGAATTTACCTGCCCAGGGCCTTGGCCCGGGGGGTTAGAGCTTCTGCAGTGATTTATTATGGGAGGGGGGTCAATCTGAAAAAATTAAACCATAAATTTCACTTCTCGGTTTCGATCATGATAAACCTGGGCAGAGGTAAATAAAAATGTGTATTTTAGCAGGGGAAAAAAAAGAGTCAGAAAGAGAAAAAGGAGAGATTACTTCGAAGCTGTGAGTGAGAGGCAGCCGTGAAGTTCAAGCAAACTAAGAAATATTTGTGTAGAAAGATCTACAGCATGTGCTAAATTTGCTCTGAAATAGACTTGGGTGGACCTTGGCTGCCCTAGCCAAGAGGGGATTCTCATATTCCAAGTTTCTAAGGCAATTTTTGGTAAAACACCCATCTCTGGCACAGCAAGCACCAGGAGTTTGCAACCTCAGCGCCAAATGGGTGGGTTTCCCTCCTGCCCTAATCCTCCCAGTTTTGTTTTGTTTTCATGTAATCTTTTAATTAGTTAAGGATTTAAAATAAATCTCAAGTGCTGATACACAGCTTAAAAGTAACCGGGTATGACTACCAGAAGTTAAATCCTTCCTCTAATCCACTGCTCCGCTGCTTGGGCAACACATCACACTAACAGCTTCTGATACGCCCAGGCGCGTGGGTTTATACGCAGAGCAGAAAAGCCTAAAAAGGTGAATTTGAGCATTAGTATCAGTGTGTTGGACGGCGCTGAGCGGAGGCACACGCAGGGCTGGGTCCTCAGCAGGGGCTGGTTGACCTCCCCAGGCAATTTCCTCCGGTCCTTTCATGCATCCCGGCTAGAAGAACTGACAGATGAGGAAAAATCCGCGATTAAACTCAGAAGGGCAGACAGGAAGCGCAGAGAAAGTGATTCTTAAAAGCGGCAGCTCCATGAATTAATTTTCATGTCCTTTGTGGTTGCTCCTCTGCCAGCAGAGGGTAATTGGTTGTACAACGAGCTCACGGATCAGGGCAAAACCCCCGCGAGCAGCCGCTGCCCGGCCTGGGAAACAGGGCAGAGGCACCGGCAGCCCCTCCTGGGAGACATTAGAGAAAACCAGGATACAGAAAAAAACCACTTTACAACGGCCGAGTCCGCGCTGCTGGGGCTAAGGACGGGGGTTCCTCTCTGAACCGCCTGTTTTCCTCAAAAACAACCTGTTTTCCCAAGCACGGGCCGAGCGGAGAAGTGCCACCCGCTCCGGCCTCCGCTTGGGAGGGACAACTGGAATTCGTCACCCAGCAAAGCCCCCGCAGCAGCCGCAGCTCCTCGGGGAGCTCGGGAAAAAGCTCCTTCCCAAGGCCAACCTCGAGGGCGGGAGGTTTTTAAGACTTTCCGACCCACACGTCCCCTCCAGAGCGGGGCCCTACGCACGTTTTTTGCCCCTCCGAAAATCCCGGATTTTGCAGGGGACACGAGAGGCTTTTATAGGTCCTTGTTCCGGAGGGCCTAGGGCTAAATGGATGCACAAAGGGGAAAGAGGGAAGAAAATGCTGGGATGGACAGGAATCCTGGACAGGAATCCTCCTCAAAGCCCCCACGGCCGAGCAGGGAGTCTGCAAGAGGCAACGGGGTCCACGAGGGCCTTTTCACACCCACTGGTGACTTCATGGTCTGCACCATGTGCTTGCACCCAAGCAGGAGCTGAGCTCCCTGCAATGTGCCCTGCTCCAAGCAGCTTCCATGGAATGGAATCCAGGAATGCTTCACTCCGGAGAAGTGTCTGTTGAGCCGTGGAATCCGCCGCGAAACTGGATGCGGCTACGAACGCGACGATGTGACCCAAAGAGGACCATTCCCTCGTGTTGCTCTGAAGCTGGTGCTGAGACGGCTCCCCCGCTGCAGCTAACACCCCTCCCAATTTCTAGGGGAAAAAAAAGGAACGCACTTCAAAAACTAAATTTTGGACCCAGCTGAATTTTAATGATGCTGGAGATGGGGATTCGCTCCCCTGTCCCCAAAACGTGACTCTGGAAGCGCTCGATTCCCTTCCCAGCCACACGGACATGCAGCCTTCCACAGCGCAGGAAAATTCACCAGTGCCTTGAACTGGGAGCGCTCCAAGAGCAGAAAGAAGAGGGAAAGTTTGGAGACATCTGCCCATAAGACTCCACCATACCCCACCTATTTCTGTTAAACTCCTTTTCCTCTTGGATCTCACCAAGATTTCAGCTTAGCAGGAAATTTTAAGTGTCTGAACCTGGATTTTACCTCCTCTTTTCCATGTCTGCTTATAGAGAGAATTATCAAGGGCTGTTTCTACTTCCACTCTTTTCCTCCAGGCTTTATAACTGCAGCAGTGCTGCCTTGACCATCACCCCGGGACAAACCTGCACTCGCCTGCAAGGGGCTCAATTCGGCTGCCCGGCTTCCTGGAGAAACGAGGAATTTAGCCGGAGCATCGGCCCAATCCACCCCAAAACACCCGGTGCCTGATGAGCCACTGCTGCCAAATCTGACAGGGACAAATGTCTTAAAGAGGCTTTTTTTTTCCCCCTTTTAATCAGCTTTTGAGATGACTGAAGGTAAAATAAAGCAATGCAAATTGGTGTCCCCCAGGGAAGAAGCAGTTGTAAAGAGTTATAATTTAAACTGCATGGTGAAGAGAGGGAAGAGGAGGACGGAGCTGGGGAACGTTCACTCCGCGCTCACGCGGGCGGGTAGATAAATAGAATAAATCTGAAAGAAAGGGGGTTTTATTAGTGCGGCTGCTCACAGAATGACATACAGTTGTAAAGCTACCAGTGTCTCTGCAACAACTGAATAAAACAATAAAGATGCCTGTAATTCTCCATTTCTTCAGTCTAACACACAAACCTACCCAAAAAGGTGTTGAAATTTGGTAAGAAGGGAGGACAGCCCCGTCCTTCCTTCCGCCACGGTCCTCCTCGCACGCGGAGTGTCTGGCACCAAAGCACGGCCACCAAAATGGACCTGCAGCACCCACAGATGCTCCACGGCAGCACAACCCTGGAAAACGCTGGGTCGTTTTAACCAAGCCACCTAAAACTGCCGGAAAACCCAACGGAGCAGCAGCTCCCGGCTGCATGTGTCACACAGCATTCAGAAAAAC